AATGGGAACCATCTTACATTGTTGGTGGGAATGTAAAATGGTGCAGGTGCTGTGGAAAATAGTTTGGTGGTTCTTCCACAAGTTACACATAGAATTACCATATGACCCTGCAATTCTTCTCCTAGGTATATATACCCAAAAGAATTAAAAACAGGTACTCAAATAGCTGTACACAAATGTTCATAGCACAATAATAGTCAAAAGGTACAAACAATCCAAATGTCCGTCAACTGATAAGTGGATATATAATATAGAGTATGTATATATATACGTTAGAGTATTAATCATAGGAAGGAATGAAGTACTGATGCATGCTCACATATGATCACATATTGTGTGATTCCATTTATATGAAGTATCCAGAATGAGTGAATCCATAGAGACAGAAAGCTGATTGATGGTTGCTAGGGTTAGGAGGAAGAGGAATGAGAGTGATTGCTTAATGGGCTCAAGGATTTGTTTTGGGATGATGGAAATGTTTTGAAACTAAATAGAGCTGGTGGTTGTACAACATTGTCAGTGTACTGAATGCCACTCAATTGTATATATATATTTTGTTTTTTAAAAGGGGGAAAACTATGTTTATTTTGTCTTTTTTTTAAATTTTTTTTTTATTGGAGTAGAGTTGATTTACACTGCTGTGTCAGTTTCTGCTGTACAGCAAAGTGAATCAGCCATATGTATACATATATCTCCTCTTTTTTGCATTTCCTTCCCATTTAGGTCACCAAAGAGCACAGAGTAGAGTTCCCTGTGCTAATTGTATATTTTTAGATGGCTTATTTTATATTATGTGAATCTCATGTCAATACAAAAAAAAAAAGTAAGGGTAAAATAAAGATTTTTCAGACAAAAGCAGAGATAATTCGTTACTGACTGACATGCACTACAATAAATGTTAAAGGAACTTCTTCAGGCAAAAGGAAAAGTGTATAAGATGGAAATTTAGACCTGCTTAAAGGATGAAGACAACTGGAAGTGACAAATATGTGGGTAAATATAAGCCTTTTTTTTTTTTTTTCATTTTAAAATGTCTTCAGAAGACAATTGAACTTCCAGTTTCAGCTCTGACATGTAAAGAACTTGGAAATCATCTCTCCTGTCTTCAACAACAGCAAAAATCTGACCAAACTGAAAATCATGGACTATTCTTAGATTAATCTGAGATTTGAGTTCACAGGGCAAACTGCCACTCCCCAAATGGTGACAGGTGAATACATAGACTCACACTCGAGATCTGCTTATTGGGAACAAAAGCTGTTTGAACCAGTGAACTGGTAGGAACACTCAAATGGTAATTGATGAATTGCTGCAGGGTGAGTGTGGACTAGCTCAAGAGCTAAAAGCTTCCAGGGGCTCAGCCTTAGGAAGGCCCCCTGCTTTCATGGGTTTTGACCCCCAGGGCCCACCACATTCTTATGGTGAAGATCGGAGAAAAATTTTTTGTTTTGATACAGGGGAAGTAGAATATAGTTAACACTACTGAACTTTACACATAAAAATGGTTAAGATGGTAAGTTTTATGGGTTTTTTTCCCCAAAAACTAAGAGTTTTGTTTTTTTTTTAAAGAAATGGGCTATCAAACCATGAAAAGACAGGAAGGAACTTAAAATGCATATTGCTAAGTGAAAGAAAGATTACATACTGTGTGATTCCAACTGTGTGATGTTCTGGAAAAGGTAAAACTATGAGGACAGTAAAAAGACCAGTAGTTGCCAGGGCTTCAGAGGGAGAGAGGGATGAATAACTGGAGCATAGGAATTTTAGGGCAGTGAAACTATTCTGAATGATATTGTAATGTGGACACCTGTTATTATACACTTGTCAAAACCCATATGCAACACAAAAGATGAACCCTAATGTAAACTGGATTTTAACTAATAACAATCCGTTAATATTGGCCCATCTATTGTAACAAATGTACCACACTAATGCAAGATGTTAATAATAGGGGAAAATTGAGGAGAGGGGTATATGGGAACACTCTGTACCTTCTGCTCATTTTTCTTTAAACTTAAAACTACTCTAAAAAATAAAGGCTGTTAGCTAAGTGAAAGAAATATACTCATCCCTTTCCAATACCATATAACTCCTAATTAGTAGTATGTATTTTCACAGCAAATAATTACCAGGCAAACTACAGGTATCTATCCTGAATTGCCTACTTCATGTTAAGGGTTTCAGTGAATGACACTGATAGAAACTATGATTGTCTTGTGAACAACCATGTGTTTTTGCTTCTGGTCTTGCCCCCTAAAATACATTAATTGCTTTCTGGCAAAAGACATGAACACCTCAGTTCTCTAACATTCTAAGTATACCCTCACCACAGGGCCTTTGCAATGGCTGTTTCCTATTCATGGGACAATTTCCCCCAGATATGTGCAGGACTCACTTGTTTACTTCCTTTATGTCTTTATTCAAATGACCTTCTCAGGCCCTCCCAGACCATCTTATTTAAAATTCCAACCCTCTTCCCTACACTAATTTTTTTTCTATAGCACTCATCACTTTTTAATATTAGAAAACCTTTTTATCTTCTGTCTCCCTCAGACATGACATGATTTTGGTATGTTAATTTTGTATCCTGTAACTTTTCTGGAATCATTTGTTACCTCTAACAGATTGATTGGTGAGGGGGGGAGTATGTCTTTAGGGTTGTCTGTGTATATGATCATGTTGTCTATGAAAGGAGATAATTTTACTTCTTCCTTTCTAATTTGGGTGCCTTTATTTCTTTTTCTTGCTTAATTGCTGTGGCTAGGACTTCGAATACATTGTTGAATAAAAGTGGTAAGAATGGGCATCCTTGTCTTGTTCCTGATCTTGGAGGTAAAGCTTTCAGCTTTTTACTGTTGAGTATGATGTTAGTTGTGGGCTTGTCATATATGGCCTTTATTATGTTGAGGTACATTCCCTGTGTACCCACTTTGTTCAGAGTTTTTATCATGAACAGATATTGAATTTTATCAAATGCTTTTTCTGCATCTGTTGAGATGATCATATGATCTTATCCTTAATTTTGTTAATGTGATATATCACATTGATTGATTTGTGGGTGTTGAGCCATCTTTGCATTCCTAGGATAAATCCTACTTGATCATGGTGTTTAATCCTTTTAATGTTTTGTTGAATTTGGTTTGCTAATATTTTCTTGAGGAGTTTTACATCTATGTTCACCATCAATATTGGCCTGTAATTTTCTATTTGTTTTCTTATTGTTGAGTTTTAAGAGTCTTTTAAGATATATTTTGAATACTAGTCATTTAATAGATTTGTGTTTGCAAAGGTTTTTTTCCCAGGTTGTGGTTTGTCATTTCATTCTCTTAATGGTGTCTTTCACAGAGCAGACATTTTTAATTTTAATAAACACTAACATCAGTTTTTTTCTTTCATGGATCATGGTTTTGGTGTTGTTTCTAAAAAGTAATTGCAAATCTAAGGTCACCTAGATTTTCTGCTATGTTATCTTCTTGGAGTCAGTTCTTTTTCAGGAAACTGTGCTTGACACTCTATACTTGATTCTCTCTCCCTCTTTTTTTGCTTTGGTATCCAGTTTTTTCACTTCCAATTTTGTTATTCGTTTAGCAAGCATCTCTTGGGCAGCAAGTATGTTTCAACTTTATCCTACTAATGGAGTATGTATTCAGAATGTAATTGGATTAAATAAAGTAAGTTCTCCCTTTGGATTGTGCTTTTTTAATATAAGGGAAAACATTCTCTATCCTGAAAATTCTTTGCAGCATTTATGCTCTAAGACTTGGTCCTCAGAGGAGAGAGGGAACTTGCATTTACTTTGTGCTTCTTTTTTGCCAACATCAGGCTATTGTACTTTGTATACTTTATTATTTAATCATGATGGTAGTTGTTGTTTATGACATTATACCTTTGTTTCTGTCATAAATTGATAACCGACTTCACCTGAAAAATCTGCACCATTTCTTGAAACTTTAGTTCCTCTAATGATGTTACGAACTGACAGAATATGTTGCCTAAAGGATCTTTTCCTCAGCCCAGTGGTTCACAGACCAAAAGAAACAAACAAAAAAAGTAACAACAATAAAGCAAAACCCCTTCTTTAAAGTAAGAAAAAAAAAAAAAACACGTATAGGGGAACTGTCTATATTTTTCTGAAGTGAAACTAATTATTTTTGCAGTCAAATTAAATAATAAAAGTAATTTTGACTCTATGATAATACTTATGTTCAGAATCAGAGTTTTAATTTTTTTAGGGTATCCTGGCCTAAAAACTTTCAATATTGCAAGAGATGTGGGCTTTTGCACAGGTTGCAATTTGATCTTTCAGACAACAGTAATATCCAGGTTTACTGCTTCTACATACATGTTTTGGAAGAATCTTATTTTTAAATTTAATCTTAACCTTGTGCTTTTTGAGAACATAGAGGGACAGAGCCTACTGAATACTTGATTTTGGAAAGCGTTTCCATACGTTTGCTTTTTTTCTTTTATTTTAGACCTCAACCTCTTTCCTGTCTCCCTTCTACCTTCTCATCCTTCCTTCTTGCCACCTAAAAATATTTTCTTTATTTTTTTATGATTAAATTTTAAGTTTTATTACAATTTAGTTGCTTATTTGGGAACTTTAATTTTGTCAACCTAGATATGATCTTCCTGATCACATTCAGGTCTGGTATTTATAGTTCATATTTTGTTTTCATTTTCCACACTGAATGTCTCTGTTTTCCACAGTGACCATAGCTAACATAATCAGCTAGGGGAATGGCTCTTAGGTGGCTCCAGAAGACAGTAGTGGAATAACCTTAGCTTGATAGAGGGTATTCATTCTGCTGCTGTGATGACCTGAGAGTCCTCTTGCCTTCCTGATGCCATCCTAAAATTGTCACTAGGGCCTTAGAGAAATGGTGGATCATCAAATATTAGTGTTCCTTAACAGAGTAGTATTTTGTAACCGGTTTAAATGCACACTGCTTTAATCCATGTGTCTTTTTTCCACCAATCCCCCCCCCTCCCAACCACAGTCACCAGAGAAGAAAGGAAAAGAAGCAAATACTGGTTTTGGTGGGCCAGTTGTTAGTTCTCTGTATCACGAAGAAATCATCAGGTAAATTCTTTTTTGGTCTTCAACAATAGGGGTATATACATATATGTATAGTATGTGTGTGTATGTATACATTGTGTGTGTGTTTATAAATTTATTTATTTATTTAATACCCAAAACTTTCATTTGAAGAACTTTTTCTTAACATGAAACCGATTTGGTGGTATCTCTAGGAGGATAATAAATGGCAGGAAATAAATTTTTATGTGTATAATCTTTAAAATCTGTAAGTGTCTGAATCAGTGCCAGGTAATAACCTTTCTCCCACATAAGTAGTTGGTAGGGCAAGGTTTTGTGTCTCAATCTAAAGCTATGGATTTTTGTTGTTGTTCTCATTAGGTTTCCTCAAAATATCATTATTTCTTTTAAATATTTTAATTTCTGTAGTTTGTTTATTCTAGCTACAAGTTAAAAATCATTTCAGCTTTACAAGATGAAAAAGTTCTGGAGACTGGTTGCACAACAATGTGAATATACTTAATACTACCAAACCGGACACTTAGAGATGGTTAAGATGATAAATTTTATGTCATGTATTTTTAACCAAATTAAAAAATTTTTAAAGGTCATTTTGCATTATTTAACAAAGGTCCCTGAATTTTGTATGTTATGTATGAAATTTCTTGGACTATTGTTTTCTTTACACACTGTGTAAATCAGAAAAAGGATTCTCTCCTGCTTTAAAGCCATGTGACACATTCTTCTATGATGGTTACTTTACAAGCAAAAACAAGAAATAGGAACTTCTGATGCTCTTACCCTTCTGCGTCACCTGAGCTTTACTTTTCTTACTTATTAACATGAAATAAATGAGCTCTAATTTTCAAGTGGAAAATTAAGTTCACCTAAATTGAAGGGAAATATCTATCTTCATAGAATGAAGAGGAAATTGTACCAAAATTTTATGCTTCATTCTTGCAAAAGAGTTGCTGACATTATCCACCCCACAAATAGTGATAAGAACTCCCAGGTAGCATTCTAGAAGGAAAGCTATTGATACCCCTATGAATCAAAAACTTCAAATGCTCATAGTTTCTAGTTAATGACCAGCTAATACTAAGGGCCCTGTCTTGAATCTATTTGCATAGCAAGCACATCATTTTTTACTAAGATTAAATGTCTACTTGGGGTGATATAGTGGAAGACTGATGGAGATTTGAGGGGGATGAAGATACCCTTTAAGAATGCTGCTGGCCTGGAGTACATTTGCCACCCTGATCCCTTGAGGTACCCTGAAAGCTCTGAGAAGCCCATGTAGTTTTGAGGAAGCACAGTTTAAAAAATATTTTCAGAGTTTAACTCCCCCTTCCCCTTAACCCTTACAGAATCAGAACATGTTTGGGGGGTTCTTAATTTGTATATATTCTCTACTTAGAGCTTCTAAAAAATGGCATATTAGAACCTTAACCATATTAATCAAAGTTTATTAAATGTTCAAATCAAGTCAGTAAACCCTTAGAGTCATTTTTCTAGGAGGGGAGATTAGTCATTCCTTCTCTGTGTTCCCATAGTCTTTTTTTTTTTTTTTTTTTTTTTTGCGGTACGCGGGCCTCTCACTGTTGTGGCCTCTCCCGTTGAGGAGCACAGGCTCCGGACGCGCAGGCTCAGCGGCCATGGCTCACAGAACCAGCCGCTCCGCAGCATGTGGGATCTTCCTGGACCGGGGCACGAACCCGTGTCCCCTGCATTGGCAGGCGGACTCTCAACTACTGTGCCACCAGGGAAGCCCCCCATAGTCTTTCATTCACACTTTTGTTATAGCATCTGTGACATTATGCTACATTGGATTATAATTTTTAAAAATTTGTCCTTTCTGCTAAACTGTTAGTTTTTGGAGAGCAAGGGTAGTATTTTATCCATCTGTGTATTCTCAGTATCTGGGGAAGTTCCCAGAACTTAGTAGGTACCTAGTAAAAATGCCCAGAGCTTGGGAGGTATCCACAGCTGCTTCCCCCAAGGGGCTGAAAGTTTAGTGACTGGCTCACACAGTTAGCCTAGTGGCCCTATCATAAATCAGACATGCCCATCCTCACCTCTTTTCCTAAAGAAATGTATAGACCACTTTCCTAGTTAGATAATTAAATGGAGATAGTTTCTTAACGTTGCTTTTTTAAAATCGCTGTACTTAACTTTCTAATAATATCAATCACTTATCTATAAATAGTGATCTTTATTTTGTGTACTGATTTCCTTAAGGGCTCCCAGACTCTAGTATTTTTCAAAATGACACGTTGAATAGAGTTTCTTTTGTAATATCCAGTGACGTGACTGATCACAGTAGCTCTGCAGAACAGAAAGCAAATCAAATGTACTCCTATTGACGTGATAGTAGATATCTGGGTAATTGGAGTATTCCTAAGAGTTAAACTAAACTGGAAAAGTTAACCTACCTGCTTATCCTCTACCCAATTCCTAAAGAAGTGACTCAGATTTAAATCAATATTTAGAATTTTGATCTTGAGAAAAGTGACAAAATAATATAGCTTTATCTTCATAAAGTAGAGATTTTAATTCAACTCAACACACGTTTATTATGAACCTATGATGAGATGAAATATCGTGGATATTTGTGCTTCTCAGCTTCTTCACTTTTTTTTTTTTTTTGCGGTATGCGGGCCTCTCACTGTTGTGGCCTCTCCCGTTGCGGAGCACAGGCTCCGGATGCGCAGGCTCAGCGGCCATGGCTCACGGGCCCAGCCGCTCTGCGGCATGTGGGATCTTCCCGGACCAGGGCACGCACCCGTGTCCCCTGCCTCGGCAGGCGGACTCTCAACCACTGCGCCACCAGGGAAGCCTGCTTCTTCACTTTTGAATAGTATGTTTTTGGTGTTTTTGGCATCTACATTTGAGTATGTTTAATAAACCTTATTGGTTGAGTGAAATATGAACCTCTGCTATTGGCAAAACTGGTTAGTCTTGGCCTTATTTCATTAAGTCATCCAAGTATTAGTCTTCTTATGATAGGATCTAAATCGTTGTATTCTGGAACATATTGTTAAGATATGAAACAGTAAGGAACGTGAACGTGAGAGAGCCACGGAAAGCCTTTCAGTTACAAACTGTAGTTTTGTTACTACTACAGTGGATCAGAAATCACAGCAACTAGTCATATTCTTATATTAGAGAATTCATTCTGTAACAATTCCAGTGTAACAAACTAGATCATGATAAAAGTTATTGTATAATGAAATGTTCGTTTATTCCAGTGAAGGACCAGATATAGTCCCTATTGTTTCTTAAGTATAAGAATGCAGTTACAACAGTGAAAACAGGCTATTTGTTGAAGTTTGTATAATCAAATTTTGCTTGTACTTTGGTGAAATTTAATATCTGGTGTTTTATTTTTCGAAGAGAAAACTGTGCTTTAATTGAGGTTAATTGCAGTTTCTTGGCAGAATTAATGTTCAGCTGAGGTGAAAGTGACAGTAGGTTTTATAATTTTAGAAACATCAAATGGTAAACTTGGATGAAAGGAAAAGCTTTCTTGTATAGAACCATTAAAAAGAACATAAAAATGTATTTTGAAGGTCTGTTTTGGATACTTTAATATATAAACTTACAATTTTTTCCACATTTAAAAAAATTTATTTATTTACTTATTTTTGGCTGCGTTGGGTCTTCGTTGCTGCGCACGGGCTTTCTCTAGTTGGGGCGAGCAGGGGCTACTCTTCGTTGCAGTGCGCGGGCTTCTTGTTGCTTTGGCTTCTCTCGTTGTGGAGCACGGGCTCTAGACGCATGGACTTCGGTAGTTGTGGCATGCGAGCGTGTCCCCTGCATTGGCAGGTGGATTCTTAACCACTGCGCCACCAGGGAAGCCCTCCACATCTCTGAAGGTTAGGAAAATCAGTATCTAATGAACCCCTTTACTAAGGCTTGGGCTCCATTGTTGTGGCAGTTTCCTGACTAATATGCATTGTAGGTGACAAGTTAAGGGCCCATTTTATTTTTATTGTAAATGTTCCTGGGCCAAGGGCCACTGGGGCCAATTCCGAGCTTGCTCCCTGACTGTTTTGGTTCTGACCTTTATTTCCACTCTTTCACAGAAAGTGACAATATAATGTCATAGGTACAGATCTCTGTATTAATATTCCAGAGCCCTGACACCAATTTCTCATTCTGAAGCTAGTTAATTGTTCTGTAGTGTAATGGAGGAGATATAAGGTAAGGCTAATTAAGTACAAAAGATTATGGAGCCTGCTGGAATTCAAATGGTGGTTCCATCTCTTATTAACTCTGTGACCTTGGACAAGTTACTTATCTATAAAATGGGGATGATTATAGTATATTATGCTTTCTCATATAGCATTTTTGTGGATTATATGAATACTTATACACAGGCATCCTAGAATAGTATGTGGCACAAAATAAGTTACTTTGTAACTATTAGTTTTATTAGTATTGTTACTAAGCATAGAGTCCCCACAGTGGAGACTCAGGGCACAGGGCTGATGGTGGGAGCTAAAATCACCTAACTATGGAATTAGGTACAGGTTGTTTGCTTTTGCAGAAGAAAATGGCAAACCGGGAAGGGAGACCAATGCTACTAGATCTGAGTTTGGAACTGTAGAAACAAGAGAATAACAGATGTTGTGACTCTAGTCTTGAGATCAGTTGTGTTTCATTTAAACTGCAGACTGGCAGAAAAAGGTCTGGTTAATAAGTATAGGGCTTTGCAAAGAGTCAAATGCTTCTGTACTACATATACTAACTCACTTAACAGGGAATCACTTTCAGTGACTTGTATAACTGAGAAGGTTTCACCTCGACGTTGGCACATAAATTGAGAAATTAGGACATGATTTAAAAATACAACAAATGAAACGTGTACAGTATCCAACCCACCCTGCAATAACATTTGATCTTCCCTGTTATATTTTGTAGTTTGATGCTATGTAATCTATCAGAATCTTATTAATCCCACTTACACAAGCAGCCATCTGGACCTTCTTTAAGCAAGACCAGACCAGTATACAACTAAAGTGATTGATGGACTCTGGAATTGA